AGAATCTAGAGTGACAGCTGCAAGACAGTAAAGTCCCTTTCCGAATATTACTGTTGGTTGACTGCAAATGAGAAAAACACAATGAAAGGTACATGTCCATCAGCCGCATGATTCTGCTGCACTGCAGAATCAACATTAAGTGATGCCCCTTTGTCCTGAAAGAGCAGAAAAAAATAACAGTGGGAAAGGTGATGATGCTCTAAAAATACCTCATCTAAAGAACTTGAAGAGGTGCTGCTGGCCTTCAGGGTTTTTTTTGTTTGTTTGATGTTCAAACACTTAATGCTTAAGTCTTATTTTAATGACCTGCTTAATACTAAGATTATCTGAACTGCACAGCAAGTTCATGGACCAAAAGATAGGATCTGTTAGAATTGGAAAGGTGTCAGAATAAAAAGTGGAAATGTTATAAGCCAGCAATTTTGATTTTGAGGGTCTGCAACAGCTCAGGGGTCTCTGGTTTCCTGTTGGGTTTGTGGGGTTTTTTTTAATTATACGACTGCAATGTGTGCTAGATTTTGCTGAATCTTTAAAAAAAAAATACCGGTAAACATGCTGATTAACCACCGAATAGAAATTAGATAGGCCTTACTGTTTTTCTGTCTTCATGAAATATTCTGAACGGTCTGCAAGGGACTATGCCTCCCTCCAAAACGATTACCACTAAATTGGTAAAGAACAGGCTAACTTCAATCTGTCCGAGACATCATTAGTTGCAAGGAGTAAATTAAAGCTTGAATCCATTGTAAGTGGAAAAGCCAATTTCAGTCCTCTGAGGAATCTATTAATTGTCTAATGAAAAAACACAGAGGTCGGGGTTTTTTTTACTGGAGGGCTGCATGTCAATAATGCGACTATGTGTGGACAAGTCATCAGTAATTAGAGGCATAGACTCATCTACCATACTACAGTACTTCCAGGAACATTCAGAAAGAAAAATGTACCTACAAAGCATATTGCTCCCCCTGCCCCTTCTTTCTGCCAACAGCCTAGGAAAAGGCAATACTGCTATAATGATGCATAACGAGGTAATACTACTGTAACTGTAACAGGACTTACTCGCAATAGATTCCCACTAGTGACCATCAATAAAGAAGCATTAATTTGATCCCCACATCTGCCAAATCATTAGGAAAAACCTGAACAGCAGCTGGTGCTGCTTTGCCCTTTACACAGAAAGGGCAAGAGTAAGATGCAAAAGTCAAGCTGACTACCCCACGTAGGCACTACTAGCACAACCAAGGCAACGCACAGGGGAAGTCAGGCGTTTGAACCATTAAGAATCACAACAGCTACGGCAGGAAAAAATGCCAAGGTCAAACCCTACTCAGATAGCTCATCTGCATACTGTTGATTTGACACAGTATATTTTCAGCTTTAAACTGCTGTGTGGTGTTTCTGAACATTTAGTCTGCTGCTTCGCTTCACTCAGTGATCACTGAAGTAAACCCTGAGCATCAGACTCTGAGCATAGAACTCTGCAATGACAGGAACCAAACAAATACCTGGTTATCTGTTAGGCTGAATAAAAAGAACTGCTGTACAACTTCAGAGGTTCTTTTAGACTCGTATTTCCATCTGACATAGATCAGATTTTTTGTCTGTGGATTAGAAAACGCTGATGCTTTTCACGAGCAGAAACTGTCATTCTCCCAAGCTGTAAAAGATCACTTGCAACGCTCCAAAGTAAGAATTTGCTGTATTTACTTTTAAATGCATAGCATAAACAATCCGAAGTGCCCTTGCCAGTTTGAAAAAGGAAAAAAGACGCAGCTGATGAGTTCATGAGCATGTCAAGAAAACAGTAGGCCTTTACTGAAAAAACACGCGGGTAATGCAGGTTGCCACCAGTGGTACGGCCAGCAGTGCTACTCCACAGCTCACCGGGCAGAGGGCGCTTCTGCTGCCCTGTTCAGAAACTGACCTGAGCTGCAAGATACGCTCCCACAAGAAGGCAGCTGGAAGCAGCTGGCAGGTGAGAGCGGAGGCAGAGAGCGGGAAGACAATCCTGGCCTGTGGACATGGGGCTGGCGTCCTGACGTGTAGGATAGAAAGAGCAGTTAGATCCTAGTCTGAGGGTAGGAAGAAGAGGATGGAGGCATGGCACAGAATTAGCCGCCACAGCCGTAGCAGCTGCTGACTGCACCCATGACTGCTGCCATCGTCACAAGAACTCAGGATAGCAGCAGCAAGAGTCCAGGAAATGTTTCCATATGTGTGTCAAACATGTGCTGTGGTCAACAACAATGGAAGATGAAGAGTATAAGAGAATGGCATCATTTGGAATTAATTCTAAACAAAAAAAAAAGAAAACCTGTAATAATTACTGTAACAACGCTATTTAGGATCTTAGTGTAACAGTGTTGTAAAATAAATACAGTGAGTGAAAAGATTAACAGCACTGCATTAATTTTAATTTCACTGACAAGGACTTAAGTCTTTTATATGTCCTTTCCTAAATTAAAAACAAACAAAAAAGAAATCTAAGCTTTTGAAATGTGTTCAAGCAACTTCTTGGAGTTTCTCCATGTCTGTAAATAAATTTTGTTCTATTTATCTCCAAAGCCATTTTCATGAATTAACAACAAACATTTATTGAAGAGATCTTAAATTCATTAGGTATTTTTATTGCAACTTTTATAGTAAGCAAGACAAATATGTACTCAGAAAAACCGGACCCAGTGTGTTTTCATATTTATACTTTTAATATATTCAGTATTCCTATAAATTCAGATATTTTCATTATGGAGTTTTATAAAAGTGTATCTGCTTGAAATCACTATGCAATTTTCCAAAACACCATACTATCGACTGCAAGAAATTTTCACTGGCTTTCTACCACTGTTTTTAACAGATTACTTCATGGTAGGAAACTCCCTATCTGGAAGTACTTTGCATTTGATTAAAGCCCTGTAAATTTCAAGTAATTTTCCCCAGGCGACTCTGGCTCTTACATACGTCTAAGTTTTCTGGCCTGCCTAAACTGTTTTGGTGACTGCAATATAACAGCCTCTTCAAATTTTGTGCAATTTGTGGGTTTATTATACAATCATAAAGTGGCAAGATTTATATTTAAGGTGGTGTTTTAAAGTAATTTATTTCATCAGTGAATTTTTAGTCCATGTGACCACTTACATTGAAGTCAGTTGCATTAATAAGCAAAACATTCAGTAGCTATGCATATACAGGTAACTCAGTCTTTATATTGTCACTGAATGTGCAATATTACATACACAAACTTGACAGACACTCTAATTATGCATTTTACAACACAGAATTAACAGGTTATTAAAGCCTGCATATACTAGCTACAGTGCGTAAAGGGGATAACAGTCATACCATTTTGAATTTTAGCATTAAAAACACATTTATTCCATGTGGATGGGTTTTTGAACATGAAAATCCTATTTGCTCTTACAATAGTTTCTGCAAAAAGCCACACAACCCAGGTCCTGATAAACATTCATGCCTATAAATTACATCCATTACTGGAAAAATTTTAATAGAGTAGGCAGCAATTATTTTCAATACTTCTTAAAACTTGTACCAAAAAATATACATTTTCCATAAAATCAAAAAATAAAATATCTGAAAATGTTCTGTCATAAATCTAGAAAAAGAGGAGGAATCCAGTCTTAAAAGTTGAATTCTGCTCTCACATACACAATTCAAATTGAGACCAATGCATGGTATTTGTACAGCTGACAAGAATTTGGCTGGGTTTGCAAGATTAAAATGCAAACATTATGAAAAGTATGCAAACTCTTATTTGAGGAGTTTAACTTTGTCCTTTAAAATTTTAAATTTGGGATTGTTATTCACTTTCTTATTAAATATGACTAGAATATCCTCTTTTGATGTTCACCAGCTACTGCGTAATACTGAGCTATAACCTGCACAAAGACAGAGGAACGGTTTTGAGTTAGTAAAGATGATCCCACTTTAAGCAATAATACATTCATGTTACTGTATTAAAAGTGGCATGGAATCTATTATGCTACTATTCCTTTGCACTGAATTTCTGAATTAGCACTGAATTTCTTCTGTAGACCAGTAAGCAACAAATAACATGTCCTTCAGTTGACATTCTATCAACTGATATTCTGTTAAGTAACATCAAACTTCTTTGCTTCTGTGGGGCAGGATTTTATGAACTTAAGCATTACAAAAAGAAATTCACAAGACTTAAGCATTACAAAAAGAAATTCAGAAGACTAAAGGCTATTAAAAAAAAGGTGTTGTACAGTACCTTTTTTCTTAGTTTTTTAATTGAAATTTCATTGTCTGGAGCTTGTTTCAGAACAGCTTTGATGGTTCCCTTCCAGTTGAATTTACCTAGGAAATAATTAGGTGTACAACATCGTTAGTAAAATCAGGTATTTACAGGTCTTCTTCTCTAGTAGGAACCAGCCTTCAACCTCCTAATTTTGGAACCAGTTCAGCTACCACAACAGTTGTTATCTTACTGGCCCTACCACAGCAGGATGTCTTAAGCATAAAGCCAGGTAGGCTGTTTCTAAAGATTCTAATAGGATAGACACGAAGAACCAACATACTACTTGAACAACTAGGGTGAGGATTGCTTCTACTTAACTTCTGTGCTTCAGCTATTAGGCAGCAACTCTTACGTAATGCAGGAATAGTTGGGAAGGTCCCATCTCCTCACCCTTAGAGCACCGGTACTGAATTTCACACAGTACTCACTTCAGAGGTCACTGATAGTTTCCAAATGAACAATCTGTACGGTCAAGTACAGACATTCCCCAACAGTAATAGTGCGTTGGATGATAGGCGTAAGTAGGTTTATTTAAGCATAAACTGAGGCCAAACACAGCTCAAGTCCAATTTATGATTCACTGAGCAAAAATGGGGATACAGGAGATATAAAGAGATATAAGAGAGCTGTTACCCTTTTTCCTCAATGTTGGCTAACGTACATGGCAGCAGGGAAGAGAGCTGCTGTGGCGAAACAAACATGCCAAATTCCTCACTGCCCAGTGAAAGCAAGTGTAGCCAAAGGTTGCCAGCACAGCAGAAGCAACAAATGAGAGAAGTAATTCAGCATCAGGTGTGAACTGTAGCACAGGCTACTTACTCTGGAACAGATAAGTATACTGAATATACATATGTGTATGTATACTGAGGCACAATTTATTTCGTGGCTTGTTGCAAAAGCACCGTCTTATATTCTGCACTAGGTCTTTTGCAGAATAGTTTTGTAACCATCTAAACTCCCCCTTTAAGAATACCTTTATCTGTTCCCACATTTTCTTCATTGCCATTGGTGTTTTCTGTTTCCACGTCTTCTGAAATATTTTCAGTTTTCATTCTCTTTGTTGTGATAGGAGGTTCCTCTAGAGATGGAATTGGATAAACATACAGAAAAAAATATAAAACTAGAAGAAAAGTTCTGATGTGACAAAGTTTCTGTTCTTGCAACACGAGTTTATATTTGCTAAGAAGTTCAGATTTTATAAAAGGACTGTGCAACCAGTGTTAAAAAATGATCCGATTTGTATATGTAACTTGCTACTTAAAAAATTCTACTAAAGTAGATTATTGAGCTTTAAGGCATTGAGAAAAAGCATCTTGAAAACAAACAAGAATATAAGGTGTAAGACGGATACCTTCTGCATGTTTATGTTTGCGTTTCTTTACATTTGTTTTCTCTTCTATTTCACACTGATGGCCATTTCCATTTATTTCAAATTCATTCTCCAAGCTCTCCTTTTCTTTTTTGGACTTTTTACTCTTTTTTACTTCTGACTGGTTTTCTAATTTCAAGTCTTTTTTCTCCTTCTTTTTGTTCTTTTGTCTCTCTTCTTTTCGTTCTCTCTTATTCTTTTTCCTCTCAATTTTATCATCCGTAATTCCATCTTCTTCTGCTGTTGTTTTTCCCCCAGTTTCTGCAGACTGCCCCTCTTCCTTCTGTTGTGGTTTGTCTTGTTCTTTTTCACTTGAAATCTTTTGTTGACAGACAGATAATTACAATTTTTACATGCCTTTTTTGACATCGCAATTTTTCTCTACTACATCATTCATGAAGAACACTAATATCCTGAATTCAATTAAATTGCTTACACGTGGTGACACCAATTACCTGAGAAATAGCACTAAATAGTGTGGCTGATTCTTTTTAACTTAACAGCCTAAATGCTAATTATCTTAACATTCAGAAGAAATGTTATCTTACAACATACGTAATTTCTATTTGAAATAATTGTCTATGTATTTTTTTAACATATGTGCTAAATGTAATTAAGTTAAGGGAGGGACAACTCTTTTGCTTTATGCAGACAAAAATAACAGCATATTACAGCAAGATACAGAACCTATTCCCAAATATATGGCCCTTGAGTAATAATCTTAGCTTTGCCATCCAGTTCCCTGTCTTGGGGTATGTCTGGGACAACATACTATTGCATGGTATCAACAACAGCAGTGCTGGTTGTTTTAATGGTACTTTTCTCACCTTAACATATTTGGTTTTCTTTTAATGTTCCTGGGCTTATACTAATTTTCTTGTAGAAGAATTAATATATTAATGAACATTTCTGTATTTAAATTAAACTTTAATTTTAATAATTACAAGTGAAATACAATTACTGAAATGTTAATGTCGCTATTTAGAAGGAGAATACATGTTTATACAAGCAACTGAATACCAACATGTTTTTGTAAAGAGCCATTTCAATTCAATTTGAATTCCACTTAAGAAATGCCTTTGAGTACATACACTTCAAAGCATGTATTAGGAAGAATATCTTGAGATGTTTTTAAGAACTCTTAAAGGTGTGTTGAAACAATCTGAGCAAGAAAGTTGTGTTATATATTTTACTTCAATGCTATATTGTATAGAAAATTTAAATCGTTTACTTGTGTTTAAAGTAATTGTGCAGATTCAAGATTTTATTAAAAAAAATCAGTTTAAATCAAGAGGGAACTGCTTATGACTTTAGTGAAGTTGTATTGACTCAGAAATGTTCCAGCAAGACAATGTACTTGCAATTCATTGTATGCATATGTATGCAAGTATTCATACTTGCAATATGTTATGTTCATATCCTTAAAAAAAAAAAAAGTATTTCCTTCCTCCCTGGCTCTTATAGTTGGATTCTTCAGAAAAACTACAAATAGATTTAACTGGGATCATCAAATCAGGAACATGAAGCATGATCAACAAGGGATTAACGTCAAAACTATGCCTACACTCTTCCTCAAAAGAAGCTGGGACGAGGAGAAGAGCAATCTTTACATCAACAGAGAAGTAAGCTGCTGTAACAGCTTTCTAGTAGCAGTAATAGATAAACATGCTAAGCTAGTACTGAAATAGCAAAGAATTAGGCACAGAGAAAAAAGGTCAGTGGGAGGAATTTGCACTACAAACTGGAAGATCTCATCTCTCTCCACTAACTAAATAGGTAAACTAGGTGCTGTTAATTTCCCACTCTAATACACATTAATTTGAGGCCAATAAAGTTCTGAAAAGAGGGGTTTTTTTATTCCTTCTTAGTGTGTGGTAAAAGATCGGAACCAAAGATAAAGGTAGTGTTTTTCCCTTTCCTTATGTACCAACAGCACAGAATAAAGTTAAATTAGCCTTCTGATCAGTACAGCGTGTCACTGTGTCCAAGTTTTTAATCATAACCTGCCCAGTGTGCACAACTACTTCAGCAACAGTATGTTCCACAAACTAGCAATTTAGTCTAGGAATATTACATTATAACATAATCCATTGTAACAATGAGGGACAATATTTCTGCTAACATCTACAAAGGGAGTCTGAAAGGTTTTCCTTCCAGCGTTTTTGACTGCATTCCTGTGGTACGATGTTGCACCTCTAACTGAACTTACATTTCTGGTTGCTTCAGAGAAAATATCCCACACCTGGTCTTGCAAAGTGCTGTCAGTTATTCTCAAACTGTTCTTCATCCAATTCTGTTCAGGAAAAAAACAGCAATAATTGAAATGAAAAGGTGCATCTCTGATTTTTTCCTTGATGACCATGTATTTTGTTCTTGTTTTTATTCTTCATTTAAGAATCTAATCACTTTTTCTGATTAACATCTGGTTAGATGTTTATTCTCTACAAATCTCTTAAACCTCAATGCTAAATTGTTTCGCATAATGCCTGTGTGCTGTTACAAGGCTATACCATGCCTCTCAACTGCCTCACCAATAGTAATCCAGAAGAGGTAAATATATAGAAAAGATTATCCTCAAGCTTTTGAATACAGCTGGTTATGTTAATGTCCTACCAAACCTTTTGACTGTTCCCTTAAAACATTAAGGATCTGATCTTATTTATTTATTTGTGTACCAGACAGATGGTCATGCTCCTAAATGGCTACCTTAGTTTATTACAGAAAAGTAAAATTTAAGCAAATATCTCAATGCAAACATTTAAAAGTTGTTTGGG